GAAAAACAAAGATAGAAACGAAAGATAGAAAATAAAAATGATAAAAACCGCGAGCCTTGGACTCTTCCGATGACGGGTGATCCGTTTGCCCTTCTCCAAGGGACTTCAAATCACGAGCCCGGATCGATTTCTCTCATAGAAATCTCACTCTCGTCCTCTCTCAAGAAAAACACAAGTGTGGAAAACACAAAATTTTCATATCAAATTAACCATCCTATTACAATAGCTAAAGGCCCTATATATAGGCCACAACATGAGAAAATAAAAAAATTACAAAATTGCCCCTTGGGCCACAACACTCAAATAAATTAACCTAGGGTTAAAATAGGAAATAGCATAAAATAGAAACTAAAATGCAGAAAATAATTCATAAATGACAACTCAAATCAGAGCCGTCGATTTACGACGCCTCCTGTGATAGATGCGCCAGATTTTCGTGCCAATGTCCGCATCAGCATGTCTCCCTATTTATGTTTTTGCACACAGGCTTGGTAAAAAATGTAGACATTTTTGTACTCTCCTTTAGCCTCTTCATCAATTGGTGTGAGGAATCAGTTTGCTTTTATTGCATCTGTTTCTCCCATCGAAGTTCTTATCCTAGGAATGATATTGGTGTAACCTTGCACATTCGTGCACAAATCTTTTACAAAGTTGGTTGTTCGTCAATGTGATCAACCATAAAGATCGCTTCAATTTCCAAAGCTTCAACTTAATTACTTACTAAGTTGGATGGTTGCCACTTGCCACTTGTGTAATCTTATGGGGATCCATAGCAATCGAGTTTTGGGACTTCTTTTTCATAAGGACCTACTCAACAATTCCTATTCTTTTACATCAAAGCTTGATGACTTAGCTCCACCCAAAAAAGAATTATTCAGGTCTACAATCAAGTTGTTGTGTTTCACCCAATCCAATGCTTCAAAGTCTTTAATGTTAGGAATTGACACCAAGTTCAAGGCTTAAGGAGCAATTTAATGTTAAGGAGGAACAACAACAGCTGATGTGTGGACCACATAGTTGGGGCATTAGTAGGCTCGACTTGGTTGCAAATAGTTGCCCCTTAAATAGTGAGCAAAACATAGCCAAATTGATTTAGGGAGCCGAATTGGATCATCACACCAACAACATTGACATTGACAATAGCTTGAGGAAGACAGATGTTGACCCCTCCACTAATCATTAAGTTAACGCAGCACTTAAAAAATTCATTGAAGGTTTTTTTAATAGATGACAGCTAAGATCATGTTAAATAGACACAAAACATCCAAACAATGCAGAAAAGTAAATATAGATGGAGTCTACATCATTTAAGAGCACCGTCGATAGAATGTAGTTATGTTCATTTTATAAGACAAATTAAACTGACACAGCAGTTTTTTAGAGGTACTACACTGTTGAGGAATCTTTGTAGCAGCCACCACATCACAGACTCAACGCTAAGCAAGATGGAGTATGCGTTATTTAAGAGCACCCTTGATGTTCAGTGGAGCCTAGGAGACTGATCAAATATGTGAAGAAAAACATTCTTCAATGGATTTGTCAAAACTTTGTGGGCTCTAAAAGATCCCTTGGCAATTGAGGCTAAGAATTTTGTCTTCCTTTGATGATTTTGTATTCATATTTCAAGACTTTCAATAGGAGCAATCCATTATGATTAATAACTCTTGCTAGCGTGAAAGAATTTTTAATTAAAGCTAGCATTCAAGCTTTACAAAGGTTCACTGCAAAGGCATCCCAAATGATTTAACTTAGTGCAATGAATTAGATTGTTGCCCTAATATT